ATAGGTTACTAAGTAACTATACTGTTTACTTATTATTGAATAGAACACTCAATAATAACATAATTATAAGAAACTGAACATACCGATCACTACGTTTTCCTATACGACTTTACATTAAAAGCAAAGATCAAAAGTAGCTAGCAGTGCTTGTAAATTAAGGCAATATCAAGGCAATACGCACAATATGCACATATGCCAATGAGAGACTGACCAGTTGCAGTTCTATGCATCAATGAGAAGATTCAAACAAACAATACTAAGTGACTTTACACTAAGTTTTAAATGTTCAGTTATTAGTTATAATGAGACCAAAGATATTAAGTGATTGTATCAATCTATGATCTAATTAGGTAAGTTTAACTACTTACCATTTCAAATGTTAATGTTCTCAATTTAAAAAAAGTTAATGAGACAATATTGGGATTGAAAAAGTTTTGAAATTCACCGAGTTGAGGTAAATCATTATTAACGAAGCTATCAGCTGAAATTAGATAATGTATTAATTGAGAGATACATGTAAATGAGATTATAACTCACAACTAAGGCGAAACCAAGATCTGAAGAATGCTACTAATTACCTTTAACCACCTAACATCTCAATATGATACAAATGATATTGAATAACAGACTATGAGGAACATTGTGATTTAAATGATTGTATTCCATCACCACCAAAGGAGACAGAAATATATAATACTGGTCACTACTCACTGATCAACCAATTTTGAATCAAACAGATTGCCGGTTCTGTGCACCGATTAAACAATAAGTAGTAACTATTACCAGATTTATCTAGTTCTTGATATTAATCCAACTCTGTCAATGAAATTGCAGTTTAGGTACTGATCCAAGTCACTGAAAAATTCCCCTCCACTAAATTTTGACGTTAAACGATATAATTTTATAGGCATTAGGAACTATATAACCCTGAAATTGGTTACTATACAATGGTAAATGTCTTGTATATGAAAATGTATCAGCTCAACTTATTCCATTTTGAAATTAGTATACAAACAATATCCAACAGAAATGTAAGTGTTTTATTAAGTAAGAACAAATGGACTGTGATAAAAAAAGAACAACCGACAGATATGAATCTACGGAAACCGCAATTTCATCAATAAAAAAAACATATTGAATAAGGTTTCAATGTAGTGCTTAATAGTATCATGTAAAGTACACATATTACGCTTAGTATTCATTTTGTGCCATTTACAAAGGCGATATCCTTAAGCCTTATGGACTACTTATTACTCAACTATGCCAGTATTAAAATAATCCTTAATCCTTTACATTGATCTAAACCAAATGATTATGAAAGCTGATTGTGAGTACTCATGTGACATTACGAAAGGTTTACAAAATATCGCGGTGCTAAATAATTGGTAATCTCAAACTGAAACGTTGCACTTTTGACATATTCTCTTCCTTATCTACCTACGTTTTAGATGAAAGTGAGAATATAATATATTTCAATCAATACATTCAGTGTCTGATACATGAAAAAAGGTATAACACTTGAACTGTGGGATAATTTCCTCTATTTAAGGTAAGTGACAGTTGTTAATTACTGCAAACAACATTTATAGAATATAATTTCTAACTAATCATTGCTTTGATAAACATTTAAATATCCTTTTATATAGTTGAGATCATGAGTCAATTGAAGCTAGACCAACATGGAAAACCTGGAAACACTGGACAGTCTTTTCGTCTTATTGAGAGACTCCTCAGCAGTGCGCATCCACGACCCCTCCTAACGAGATTCGGACTCAGGACCTATCTGTCTCGTGCGCGAACGCTTGACATCTAGACCACTGAGCTGACTAGCATCCAATGGTGTTAATGTCTAACTTCAACCAATCCACCGAATTGAGCAACCATTCACCAATGTCTTCAGTGAGTTGATATCTCCCAACAGACCTGGTTGAACTCCACTGGTTACTGCTTCAACAAAATCAAACATGTGGATTTATAAATTCAGAACAAATCATTGTGTTAGATCAGGCACTCACAACTACCTCACTTTCTATTTCGCAACTAGATATCATAATACCAAATTACACAATTGGTAGATGTAGAAAGTATGTTTCAATCCAAGTTGATATTTAACCACTTTTCATCCTAAAATATTGACAAAATATGTAACTATGTATAACTTCAATAAAAGCTAAAAAGAAAACCATATGTCCTTGGGTTATATGACAGATATGTTTGAATTGTCACCTTAATTTTTTAATTAATTAAGTTGGTATTGATTTTATTGTTAACTGAACTTAATGTACAGTATGGTTGACGTTCCTCTACATCGATATCAACTGACATATGAATTGTATTCAAAAGAATTATGAAAGATTAAGGCTTAGTAATAACTTGAAATGAATTAGAATAAGCAATGCGTTTTCGGCAAATCTATTCTACAATTTTAAATTCTATAGTGTACAACATAAATTAGATTTTGATAACTAAACACTAGAAAATCATAAAAGGCTTAATACCTGTTTTATTATAATATGGAATTTCCTCTTAACAGTGTACATACATAATTTAATCAGAGCGAATCTAGAAGCATGAGGCCTCAATCCCACTGTACTATTATTGATTTTCAAATGAAAACAAAATAAATATATAATCTTATATAGTTGAGATTATGAATGAATTGAAGCCAGACCATCATGGAAAACCTGGAAGCACTGGACTGCCGTTTCTTCCTATTGTGGGACTCCTCAGCAGTGCGCATCCACGAGATATCAACTCACTAAAGACATTGGTGAATGGTTGCTCAATTTGGTGGATTGGTTAAACTTAGATATTAACACTGTTGGATGGCAGCTCAGTGGTCTATCGGTTAAGTGCTCCTGTGCAAGAGTGGTAGGTCCTGTGTTCAAATCACTCTAGACGGGATCGTCTATTCACACTGCTGAGGAGTCCCACAATAGAACGAAATGGCCGTGCAGTGTTTCCAGGTTTTCCATGTTGGTCTAGCTTCAGTTGATTCATGATCTTAATTATATAAACTTACTAAAATCTCCACCGTACCCCATTCTGATAAATCTGTAATCTTTTATTATATTTAGCGATTCTCGAGTACGTATCGATTCACAATGAAAATCATTTTCAAAATTTGAGCGAGTGCTCATGAACTGTTCATTCAAATATCATTTAATTTGAAAATGTACTTAAAACACAGTGAACAATCTTTATACTTGTTGAATAAGTTGGTAAATAAATTGATCTATTACCTCTTTTAGTGTATAAAGCGAAAAGTGATGGGTTCGAGTTTCAACGTGAACATCAGACCTGAGATTTAGTTACATCTAGTTAATAAGTCCTGGATAGAATTAAACCCTCTGTTCGGATTCTACTGGTGGCTATATTCTATTTATTCTATGAAATTTGTGAAAAACGGCTATCTTGAGGTGATCTAAACAAGATATGTAAATATCTATATAGAATGATTAACATTCAGTCTTAAATATAAACAAAAGGTAATGTTTAAACTCTAAATAGTAATAGTGTAAATTTTTGAAACACCAAAATGATATTGATGTGTAACTATTATCGAGACGTTGCATAATCTTTATTATTTAAGCTGTATTTTTAGTAAGTGTATCACATAATTAAAGGTTTATGCCATTTTTATTTGTTAATTGATATCACACTAGGATACTATCAGCTTTTAAAATAGAATATTTGCAGAGAATGTTATCTCCATCATCACAAAATTTGTAATTGTTTAGATACTTGCTTAATTACGCCTGTTACCCGTCGTTGAGGAACATAGGCCACCCACCAGTATTCTCCGTTCAACCCTGTCCTGGGCAATCCTTTCCAGTTCTTTCAAGTCATCATTCATCCTTTTCATATCTGCTTCTGTTTCCCGGCGTAATGTGTTCATCAGCCTTCCTCTTTTCCGCTTCCCTTCACGATTCCAAGTTAGCGCTAGCCTCGTGATGCTGTTTGGTGATTTCCACAATCTATGTCCGATCCACTTCCAACGTCTTTTCCGAATTTCCAGTTCAGCTGGAAGCTGGTTTGTCCTCTCCCATAAAACGCTGTTGCTGATAGTATCCGGCTAGTGAATGTTGAGTATTTTGAGTAGACAACTGTTCATAAATACTTGTACTTTTGATGATAGATGTAGTAGTTCTCCAAGTTTCAGCTCCGTGCAGTAGGACTGTCTTGACATTCGTCTAGAAGATTCTCACTTTGAAGTTATTTCACAGTTGTTTTGAGTTCCATATGTTCTTCAATTGTAGAAATGCGGTACTTGCTTTGCCAATCCTCGCCTTTACATCTGCATCAGATCATCCTTGTTCATCACTGATGCTTCTCAGGTACGTGAATGTTTCTACGTCTTCCAGATTTTCTTCATCAAGTGTGACTGGATTGGTGTTCTCCGTGTTGTATTTGAGAATCTTGCTTTTTCCTTTGTGCATGTTGAGGCCTATTGATGTAGAGGCTGCTGCTACATTTGTTATCTTCGTCTGTATTTGTTTAGATGATCCCTCGAAAATACTTTTATTTCAATGATCAATTTCATCATTTTTGCTCTTATTAGAGGTTTCATTACATTATCTTAGTAGATATTCTTGTATTACATAACCGTTCTATGTAATATAATTCAAAACTCCATTATCTTCTAAGACTTATTGATATATATATTCACTGTTCATGGGTATATTTTATAGATCAGAAGGGGTTTTGTAGAGATTTTAATACTTTTATAGTTGAAATCATGAGTCAATTGAAGCTAGACCAACATGGAAAACCCGGAAACACTGTACGGCCGTTTCGTCCTATTATGGGACTCCTCAACAGTTCGCATCCACGATCCCGCCTCACGAGATTCAAACCCAGGACCTACCAGTCTCGTGTATTGGTTGAATTTAGACATTAACAACGTTGGTTGCCGGCTCATTGGTCTATCGGTCAAGTGCTCTTGCACGAGACTGGTAGGTCCTAGGTTCGAATCTCGCGAGACAGGATCGTGGGTTCGCACTGCTGAGGAGTCTCATAATAGGTATATTTTATATTTTTCATCATGATTATATGATAAATAAATAAATAACAGAAAACTAGAATGCGAAAAATTTTCAACAACTTTATGGTTAATTTAACTACAAAAAGAAAAACAACTAAATAAAGGATCATTGAACATTGGAAAGAGTGTAAAACAGGTTATTTGTTTACATATTGACAGAAACTGATAACACAGATACTAAATAAATGAAAAATAGAGAAAATGTTAGACGTTTTGTAGCACACACACACACCTACACACAATTGTAACACTCACAATTCAAACTAATGTTAAACTATTGTATATATATACACACACGCACACGCACACACACCTTTTCTTGTTCACTATCATGGCAGACTTACAGCACATACAGTTTATTACTATATATATATATATATATTAATATCCTTTTTTATTTGTATTTTCTCTACTGATATTTCATTGTACTGCCAGAATTTCCGAAAATTGTGTTAGTTACTACTTTGTATTCTGTTATAGTTATAGCAGTTATGCAATAGATGAGTGAATGAATAAATTAATTAACTGGTGTTATATATATATATATATATATATATATATATATATATATTGATAGTAGAAATAATAACCAATGTATCTTAGCAGGGTCTATATTCGGTAGGACTGATTGGTTTACCAGAAATGAAATCGAATAGTCTTTTCTTTTCTCTGGCTCCATTACTTCATTTAGTCATCATCTATATGAAATTATTTGATGATAGGACTTAAAAAGATGTTTCCTTAAAATCTTAAATGAACTATCTTTTTTACATCCACTGCTAAAATCTGATAGACGGGAACAACTAGTTACAAGATTCGTATCTCTATACTTCGAAATTGAAAATATCTCATTTTTTAATATTTTTTCTATATGGATTGCTATAGTTGTAAATTTGCGAAACTGTGGAGTGATTCGTTGCACTCTGTCCGAAATATAACTCACTACCATCATTTGTTTACGTCATCGTTGGTTACCTCTATTCTGAAGTTGCTTAGAAATATTTACAGCTATGATTATATCCCATCACACTAGTGAAATTATAGGGACACTAAATATTTAATGACACATACTAAGAACTTGCTTTCTTGAAGATATTTTACCCTTACGATTTCGCAAATTAATTTTCTCAGTTAAAATAATATCTATCGAAAACAATAGATCATTATATAACTTGGTACCCCTATTCTGATCAAAATCAGTAATTGTCCAACAGTCCCCAAATGAAGTGAATTCTTACACTAACTAAAGATTGCATCCTGGTTTTCTTTTATTATATTCTTTTGATAAGTTGTAATTTCCAACAAAATGAGCTGATCACCCGAATGTGATTACAGTTTTCTTTTGTCATTTAAATTGGTTTTAGTTATTTGTTTTAAAGAGTTTAGTTTTCAATAGTTGAGATGATGAATCAATCGAACCATGGAAAACCTGGAAACACTGCACGGTCGTTTCGTCCTAGTGTGGGACTCCTCAGCAGTGCGCATCCACGATCCCGCCTCACGAGATTCGAACTCAGGACCTATCAGTTTATCGCGCGAGCGCTTAACCACTAGACCGTTGAGCCGGTTGGCATCCAACGGTGTTATTGTTTTTTAATATTTAAAACATTCATATCAATATATATATTTAGAGTTGCAACTGAGTGAACAAGATTTGAAATAAGGAAATGATACATAAAAGTGGAAACCAATGAAGAATTAATGAAGAATGGATGGAATTTTGACAGTGAAATTCAGAATGCCCGTTTCGTCCTATTTAGGACTCATCACCCCAATGCACCTGCATCTCATCCCATCCATTCTATATCATTATGGTTATATCGATACAATCCGCACAGAACGTACATATGCCAACCAATAACGATTAAATTTCAGACGGAAATATCAACGATGTGATGATCTAAACTATTTCAAATCTGATTAAAAAGCTGTTAGCTATTTGGATAGATATTCATATATTCATCATATCTCTACATTGGAATAGGTTTAACCCATAGTTACTTTAAGTCAAACAATTCACAAAATTTTAAAAATTGATTTAACACATGAATATAACAAAATAAGACATAATCTAAATGAATGAAATCATCAATCCTAATTTTCATGTGCTGTGTTATGACTATAAAACACCATATTGTAAAAAGACTCGTTGGAGATCTCTAACGAGCCTCAAGCAGGACGAAACGCACGTAATTGATTCCAACGGTAACGTTTATCCATATATATATATATGAGAATCCTGTGTCTAATTTCAGAATTTCACCAATCTCAAAATGGTTATTAGTAAATTCGATTATGTAGCTGATACTTTTGTTAATTTGATTGAGTCAGTGAGCAAATAAGATATTAGCGTATTTTATGAATCAATAAACACTTTTGATCAAAGTTTAAGTTGGTGGGCTATTATTATTATTTGAACTCATAAATATTGGTACAAAGGGGCACCAGATACATATGAGCCACACAAATCTTATTTGATTTGTGTGAGAACTGTGATACTTCCCGTGTGCCCAAACCGAAACAGATGGTTTTCTTAGGGGGCCACACCCGGAGCGTCTGACCTAAAGATCTGATCCACAAGGCAGTGGAGCACCGTGAAGAGATGCAGTCCCATGATAGCCAGTGACCAACGATTGATTCATATGCCATTTGTTCCCCCAAGATACTGGAGCTCATGTGCACGATTGGTTTGGAATCAGGGTTTTCCCACTACCCTAAGTGAACATTTCATATCCGCCAACCCAGTTAAAACGCCGGACACTCGCTTTTCGTCCGCTCGATTTCGTAAACAACACCCCTGCCTGCAAGAAGGCAATAAGTAGGACTTGCCTGGCAGAGGCTATATACGCATGGCCATATGAGAGCATTTCGAGAGGGACGGCGGACTCTCTCCACTTTCGGCCGTACCAGGGCATTCGAGGTTTGAACGTCAACTCACCTTTTCATGTTTGAATAATGGACTATTGTGACTAGGAATTAAATTAGAAAGCGTAGTTCAAAGATGAGTAGACAAAAATTGTGGAAACAAGAAATGGTTGTTATCTGAATGAGTCTTCTTGGTAAAATATTAACGATTACAAAAATCTTGTCTGAGAGTTTTTCCTTTACATAATCTATATTTAATATTTATTAATCAAGCAATGATACAAAATTATTTCGCTAAACTGAGCTACTTTTGCCTCAAACTACATGTTCTTTTAGAGGTAAAATGGAGCGTATAATACACAACTGTCCTTTATGTATTAAACGATGTCTATAAAATACGGTCAGTGAAAGTAGAAGGCAAAAGTAGGCTGCAATTATTGGGATAAGACCTTAAACTTTCTTCAGCTGAGTTGATAAGCACAGCTATTTTTTACCCTTATTCATTAAATATTCCGCTGCACAATATTGGCTTCTATAGAAGTAGGACGGGAAGAAGCTACTGATGACTAAACCAATATGCTGTACCAGTTCATGAAATCAGTGACTGTTAATAAGAGCAGTGTAGATACGTAAAGTCTTTCTGGTTTCGGTTTGAGCAATAGTACTAAGTTTTATTTTGAGGTGTTCAGAGTGGAATGGAGAGAAATCGATTTCAGTATGCGTCTACACTCGTTTTCTTTCATCTGCCTTCCTGTAAAGTGTAGTTCTTAATTTAGTCACCGTTCATTCGCAATTTTTTTTATTTTGAATTATCCCTTTTTAATTTAGCTTACCACTGAATTTGATATTATTTTGTCTTGTTCGCCTATCATTCTGTTGATTACATTACTAGCTGAGCTGATATAATGTGTAGCAAATCGTACTAAATCCTAGATTTACAATAAATGACTAACGCAAAAGTAGAAATATAATGCAAAACTAAAAACCTTAGTGAATATAGTGATCAAACATTAGTCAAAAAATCTTATATCAATTAGTTGCTAAGCGTTTTATGGAAAGATATCCTTTGTAAAATGAAATATTTTGAACTGCACATAAAACTAATTTATCTGGCTGAGATATCTTCACAAACAAGCAAACCCGATACTTTCAGCCTACTTGTAAAGTCAATTGATGTTTTATTTTATATGGTATACATAGCAACCAGATTTCTTATTGACGTATGAAAAAATATAATTCATATTAATGACTGTAAGGTTATTAGCATTTTCATACCCAATAGACTGATATAATACTAATTAGAACACTAAATATTCACCACTAATTCCTCTCCTTAATTAATTGTTCAATTATACACCATTATATGATATTCAAGACCTTAATGAGTATTCCAAACTATTAATTAATTGAGATCATGAGTCAATTGAAGCTAGAAAACCTTAGATAACCTGGATAGCCGTTTCGTCTTATTGTGGGACTCTTCAGCAGTGCTCATCCACGAACCCGCCTCACGAGATTCGAACTCAGAACCTATCGGTTTTGCGCGTAAGCGCTTAACCTCTAGACCACTGAGCTGGCCGGCATCCAGTGGTGTTAATGTCTAACTTCAACTAATCCACGAAAGTGAGTCACCATCCACCATTGCCAAATAATTTGTTGGCTGAAGGTAGTCAACAGGAAGTCCTGGACATAGGTTTCGTGCTATTTGGCGCTCATCACCAGTGTAAACCTGTATTCTTGACAGACCTTATGCCTTATGGCGGATTCGATCCTTTGCCACTCAGATTTACAGTCAGAGACATTGCCACTGAGCAATCTGGGCAGCGAGTGACGTTCTGTAGGATTGAGGTGTGTATACGATCGATTGATCACTGAATAGTGACCAATACCATATATATCAAATACGTATTCATGATAATAAAATTCTATTGATTGCATTTCATTGCATATTCTCCAAGATAGACTGGCCAGATGCAAATTTTTTACTGTAACAGAAGGAAAACTCAAACCCTTACATGAATCTAATAATAGACTGAATTCTTTAAGGATCTAGCTTAACTTTTCTCTCCTTAGAAGAAATAACACAACGACTAAAAACTTTACACCTTTAAGAAATATACAAAATTTATTAGCACTGTAGCTCTCTTCTAAAATAAAGGTGAACTACAATTCTTTTGACTGTACTTTTTTACAAACCCGTATCCATGTTTTATTGACTAAACTTTATTTTAAGCATAATTTAGAATTAGATTAAATTATGATTGAATATTATATGAATTGATGTATGTATACATATCAGGACAAGAGGAATGTCAATGATTTACTTTTCATTCTAAATTTCTTACAGGGTGATCGATTAGTCACTTTTTTCACAATGGTAAATGATTACTTACAAATTCCATGGAAACTAATTTAAATATTGAGTCAATCGAAGCTAGACCACTATGGAAAACTTGGAAGCAGTGGACGGCCGTTTCATCCTATTATGGGATTCCTCAGCATAGTGCATCCACGATCCCATTGGATGCCGGCTCAGTGGTCTATCGGTTAAGTGCTGTGGCACGAGGCTGGCAGGTCCTGAGTTCGAATCTCACAAATGCGTGATCGTGGACTCACACTGCTGAGGAGTCCCATAATAAGGTGAAACGGCCCTCCAGTGCTTCCAAGTTTTCCATGGTGGTCTAGCTTCAAGTGACTCATGATTTCAACAATGAAAAATACTGAAATCTCCACAAAAAACCCCTTCTGATTAAACATTGAGATTTAGCACCAAACAATAAATCGTCATTAACTATAGGATACTCATTCAATAACAGATGAGTGTAATACCCAAGATTTTCTTGTTTAGATGTATATTATGAATCATTATATAATGCAAAACTAATGAAATATCTTACAAAGATAACTTACTAAAAATATTGCAGCACAAATAAGCAAAAGTTTCATACGATAATCCAAGTCTAAAGGGAAATCAACTCGAAAACTGTCATTCTCTTGATCTCGACGACATATTATCCGTCCAATTGATCTATTATGTCCATGTGCATAAATCTTAACAATAGTGCAGGAAAATTAAAAACGTATGAGAAAGAGGTGTGTAATTAATTACTCGTAGATTAATCACTATGAAAAAATCAACCAAACGATCAGAGAAGAAGGTGTGCGTTTTTATGTAGCATACAGCTATTAGTTGAATTGGAGCTAATCGACATGAAGCCTTAGATTTAGGTTTTGTTCTGTTCGGCTTTCAAAAGGAAAGTGTTCCTATAATCTCGAAGAGACTGATGTTCCCTCATAGATTTGATCCCACGCCACCTAACTTTATAACCCAATACGTCACCACTGAGCCTTTTGCGTAGCCGCTGACTATCCGTAAATCTAGGAGATACTTATAATTAATAAACCAATGAGCAGTCAACATTATCTGAGTTTTTTAGTGCCACTCGATTTCTATCTGGCTATCACAAAATCTATATCCATTTCATCCATTGTTGCATATTTTCAATTAATTAATATAATTAATTCTCAATAGTTGAGATCATCAGTCAATTGAAGCTAGACCACCGTGAAAAACCTGAAAGCACTGGATGGTCATTTCGTCCTCTTATAGGACTCCTCAGCAATGCGCATAATCAATTCTAACAGCTGTTTATTAATAAGCATTTTATTCATGTAATTTCTATTAAGGAACTTATTATCAATTATATAGTTTTTCACATATTCATTCAATTGATTGAATATTATTAACAGATTTTGATGAAAACTGTGTTAATTGTGATGTATCAGTCTAGAAGTTTAGTTATAAATAACCAGACATATTATAAAATCAGCTGTTGAAAGATGATTTTAAAATTGACAGAGTTGTACTATTTAGATTGTAAAATGTCTAAATAGCATTTTTATTCGTCTAAAATCAATCATCAGTAAAGGGGTTGTGTAGATTATTGTGTTTTTGATTGAAAATCAAAAATCGATCAAAGTAAGACCATTATTGAAAACCTGGAAGCAATATACGGATTGCATGAAGTTAGACATTAACACCGTTGGATACCTGTTCAATGGTTTGGAATTTAAAAGTTCGCGTGCGACACAGAAGGTCCTGGGTTCTAACCGCGCGTGCGGGATCGTGAATGCGCACTACTGAGGAGTCTCATGCCAGGATCTAACATTGATCCAACATTGATCGATTCATGATCTCAATCTAAAATTATTCAGTAGTATTTCATCATTCCTATGTTAAGAAATAATAAATATCACCAAATAGTTAGGCGTTCTACGTTGATTATTGTAAATGTATAGTGTATTATCGTATGTTATTAAATAACATTTTCATTATGTATGGTTATTATCTACTTGTATATAAATATTACAAATATTAGGTATCGTTCCAATATTGCAAGACTATTACAGATATGGCATTTAAGTTGAACTGTAAAAATAAAAAACGTTAATATCATCCTTCTAACTTATACATAACTTAACGTTTACAGTAGTAGATCATTTACTTTCATATAGTGAACAGTATTTTTTTTCGTACTGATCAAATTCCTTCGAGCAAGTTCAAATGTACCTAGTAATCTTAGTGACCGTATGTTCGTAAGTTCTATTTGCAGTGTCAGATAGTTGGATACAATCAACAGAAAGCTCTGATCCGCCAGTGTTTCATAATAGTTGATATATTCGCGATATTGAGATAACTGACATTCCTCTTGATATTTAAATCAGCATTGTCGAATGGGGTAACCAGAAATTTCACTGAATATCAGTTCGCAGAAGATTGAAAACGTATCATTTTTACGAATGTCAACTAATATAAAACTCAGTTCTAGAACTTCTTGCCGAATGTTTCGGCTAATCTAACACATTGTCATCAACATAAAATCTAGCAGTGTCGTGTTTTTAATGAATCGATAACTGAGTGCTAATCAATATTTAGTTTGTCTAGTCCTTTAAAGGCAATCGAATTCTATCGAACATGTTGTAATATGGAAACTAGTCTGACCAAAATTGAAGTTTGACTTACGGATAAGCGTCAACTAACACGAAAACTGAATCCAAAGTTTCCTGCTTACTATCTCGAAGCAACAAAAATCTCAACAGAGTACATATTATGCCGAAGCACCTAGACTAATGGCTTTGCTACAACCCGGTGGATAAAATTCAATTAGCAACAAGGACTAGATAAACATGGAATTGGTTGATACTCGCTAATCAATCCAATGTTAATATCTTGATCCTACAACAAGTCACTAATCACATTTGCAGTTCAAGATGGTAACACAAGTGAGAATGCTTCAAGGAGTATCAAGTCCTTTAAAATTTCAGTTGCGAGAACCAAATATATCAAAACCTTGGTGTAGGGTTTATTGTTAACTACATCCAAGTAAACAAAAAAGAGAGATTTTTATCAGTCTATTCTGATCAACAACTGTGTTATGAGCATACTAATACTTCACATTAGCTTCATATTTAGTAAGAATTATAAGTATGACAAATCATTCAACTTTTGACAACAACAACAACAACAACAAAAGTGAGATCTATAATAAGTAAACTTTCCAATTCTATCTAGAATCTTATTTCACAAATGTTACCATATTTTTATTTATTATTTTATTTAAACACATAAATATTGGTACAATGGACATCAGATATATATGCGTCACACAAATCTCATTCGATTTGTGTGAGGGCCGTGATACTGACCAGGTGTCCAAACCGAAACAGGTGGTTTTCTTAGGGTGCCACACCCGAAGCCTTTGACATAAAGGCTTGATCCACAAGGCAGTAGAGTAACGTAAGGAGATGCAGTCCCATGGTAGTCGGTGACAAACAATTGATTCATATGCCATTTGTTCCCTCAGAATACTGGAGCCCATGTGCACCATTGGTTTGGAATGACGGTTTTCCAACTCCCCGAGGTGGACTTTCTGTGTCCACCAACCCAGTTAAAGCCCCGGATATTCGCTTTTCGTCCTCTCAACTTCATAAACAATACCTCCGCCACGAGAAGGCGGTGATTAGGACTTCCCTGACATAGGCTATATACGCGTGTCCATGTGAGAGCATTTGGAGAGGGAGAGCGTACTCTCCCCACTTTTCGACCGTACCATGATATCAATTAATTTAATGCTATGAGGAAGCAATTGTTTACCATAGGAACTATAAATCAATCATTCACTATAAATGAAATACAATTTAGATTAATCGATAAAAAGTATTTTGAAAAATAATTATGTAGTTAACTTTTTTCAAAATAATTTTCGAATATTGATTTTTATTGGAAAAGAAAAAAAAAGAAGTCATATTGACTACAAGTATCCCCTTAAATTTTTGCGTTCACCTTAGAGATAAGATGCTCTTTGAACCCTCTGTCTAAATAGTTGTATGATGTAAATGATGAACAGTACACTTTGTCAAAGAATGCGTCAATAATGTATTTATATATCATTCATATTGATTTGATGATTACATGGAGTTAGCAATAGTTTGATTTCATAATGAATTATGTTTATTAAGAATGACGAATAGTGAGAGAATTAATTGAAGGGACATTACTCTTTAAAATATGGTATAATTAAACTTGATATTGATCAGATCTATGAAAAACAACCATTCGTTTTTCGAAGAAATAATGAAAGGAACTTTGATAAAGTGTACGAAATGTTCTAAGGACTTCAAAAATGACTGAGTTTCAATATTTTGGATTTATATTACAACATCCTGAAATAAGAGGACATACATTCTGGTTGCAAATATCTACACTAACTGATCAAGTAGTAGCTAGTATCGTGTCAGTTCAATATTTAGCTCTTAGTGCTGGTTAAATCCAATGGAGAATATTAGAATGTTATCAGTAACCTATGGTTACATCATATGTAAACTATAAGTTTATACATTACAGTTTTAGTCACATACTTTGTATAAGGATTAGTGATATTAATCAGGTGTTCAAACCAATGTAGGAGGAGGAGTAGAATATGTACTTGACATTTATGAGTTAAAAGTCAAGTCATTTGATCATTAGTCCATTCCTATTATCAGCATAGTGCTACACCTTGATGTTATGTGGTTTTATACAAATATTAAAAAGACATATTTGACCTAGATTTAGTGTAAGTCAGAGGTTGATCAATAAGGGGTACATGAAAAGTTTAGAGAACTAGTGATTGCTGAAATCGTAAGTTAAACATCAGTTATAATAATATCAGTTACAAGTATATATGTGATTCGTTCAGATATAAACATCAGTTAACTGATTTTATATCTTTTGAATGGAAAACACATTGTTCGATTATTTGAATTAAGTTGAGCATTACATTTTTCAAGTTTACACATATATGACAATTGTCATAGTTTAAGTCGCGAAGTAATCTTAGATAGACAAACAGTGAAAACCAGGTAGCGCTGGATAGTCGCTTCATACAGGTATGAGATTCCTCAGATGTGCGCGTTCACGGCACCATAAGTAGGAATCGAATTTAGGACTTTCGGTGTTGCATGTAAATGGTTATCCTTTACACGACCGTCTAACTTCAAACAATTCACGATACTGCACATTCATCTTCTATTAACTGTCTTACACTGAACATGGTTCAACTCCGTCTGTCATGGCATCTCAGTACAATTATAAGATCTTTATCTTGAAACTAATTACTCTTGAACACGTGATTATCATTAGTATCGAAGGACTTTTGGAGGCTGTAGAATTTTCAGAGTTATTAAATTCAGAGATGAGCTTAGCTAGACAACCATTTAAAGCATGAAAGCATGATTTTCACTTTTATTAATCTGTTTTAACTAAAAAGTATATATTCACTTTACAATGATAATATAATGATTGTGTCAATTATTATTCATGTAATAGTAATGCTTATCAACTTATACTCACTTTAAAGATAAGATCAAAGCAGCAGGTATAAGAAAACCAAGGACCTTTTATGTCTAAATCTATATTATCATTCCAATCTTTCAGGTAAAATGTATGACCAAACCGTCCATAATTTTGAACAATACTACCCATTGGTTCACCTACTGGAGCTTCAACTTTCATTTCCTTAATTAAGAAAATATACATAAATGAATGATATCAGTAGAAAGTACAAATACTATAGGTGAAACCAAAAAGCGAAATATATATATGCCAGAAATCATAGGTAAATTAATACGTTTGCTTAAATTATTTGAGTTTAAAAGCAGTAGTAAACTATATCCAACTAGGATTGAGACGGATTCGCAACGAGAATATATATATATACTCTGTATTTACTTTTGTTTTTAGCAGGAGTTGTTCCTGAAGTTCGTCAGCTGAATGTTTCTTTATTCTAGTGTTGATTTACATAACTAGATCTCAGATCAGTGTTTGCAATTTCAAAACAAACATAGAGTAAACTACCAGGCTACCGAGTTATTTTAGTGATTGTCTTGCTAGTTCTGATTTAGATACGGGTTTTATGGAAAAATGTGTTCAGCAAGAAGATTCGTTGCGGGATATCTGTTAAATTCAGTCCTGAAAATCCACATAGAGTAATTATTTTGAATAAATACTTGTCAAACCTTAGTCATAGTTGATTTTCCAAGCATTTTTAAGTTAAACAACCATTCTGTAGGTAAGTTATAACCTGGAACCAGAACACTGCCAGTTTTAGCATTAAAGCATTTTATAAGCTTCAGACCATAAAATGTTTCCATAAAACTCCGTTAATTATGATTTCTTCCAATAAAAAAACAGCTGGTTTATGGACGGGATTCTGATAACCACTAAATATGTGATTGAGTCATAAATATGTTTGCTCGTTCAATGACCTGATAAACGTCACTATAGTAGTGGATTCTGGATAATATGTGGTCACCTGACTCTCATATGGGGTGATTTTTCTCCATCAAAGTTCCTAGCTGGTAATCAAATAATTCGGCTATACGAAAGAAAACTAGAAAAACACCGTTCTGTACTCTTAGGTAAAACCTTCTGTTGGATGTCGACTGATTCTAGTAATATGGTTGTCAACAACGCTCCATGATAACATTAATGAAATTTATGCGCCCTGTTAGCAAACTAATCAACATTCAAATGAGAGTATTCTTGTCCTTAGAATGGATTGAAAACTTGTGAAGGTGAAAGGAATCTATCTTCAATAACTTTCAGACTAATTATGTCTCATCAACTTTTGTACTATAACTTCAATAGGCAGGCAAACTAGCTAGCCTTTTATTATTACCAAAACGAATCATATTGTTTAAGTCGCATTATATTAGTCGTCTAGTAAAATAGAGCTGTAGATCACTTTATGGCTTCAAAATTGATTATGATTTACTATTAATCTGGCTACTTAGTTTGCTTAAAACTGTACCTACCTATGAACCCATTTTCATTTATTTAACATAATTCAGACTCTTCATGAAATTCTAAGAGTATATAAACATGTCTGACAGACGTAATGTCATATTCCATATTTTTATTAAGCCACATAATTTAAACCATTTACGGCCACTTGTTATGTCACAGTGAAAATTATTTTATGAAACAGTATAAAACAATGTTTAATCGCTTGGGTATAGAAAAATGATTTAATTAAGGCTAAGAAATGTAGGGCGTGAAATTACTAAGCAAAGAAAAAACCTTATTTTAAAATTTTAAAACAGGAAGATGAATTCTAACTTGTTTTGTAGACGATTTATAAACTTACATAAGGACAGCAAAAACATACAACTGCTGAACATTTCAATGGTCGTTGGAGATGCATGACAAGTTTTCCGTTTACATTTCGCACTTCCATATCGAATGCTCTGCGAGATCCACACCAAAATCTTTGTGCAAAGCTAGACTTTTCAACAAATTTTAAGAGAAGTTCAGAAGTATCCAGCAGAGCCTCATAAACTACGGCATCATGTAGCTTTGAACCTAGAAAAAAAATAGTGAAATTTCCATATTTTCATAAATTTTATTTAACAATGGGCCCAGAATATAAGTGTCAATGTGGCGTTCTTATTATAACATTGTATAAATTAATAGATAATCTGTATAGTTAATAGTTAATAAAGTACTAAAGCTTCACAAAAAGTAGCCTCCAACTATGACCAATGTTGTTTTTTACGAGTTTTTCAGTGCATAACTAAAATAATGATTGACATTAAAAATGCTTAACTGAAAAAGAGTTTAACCAACTAGTCCGTTGTGTATAACATCTTTTTCATGATATGTTTACAGTTAATAACATTAAACAGTATTTCAATTGCAAAGTCAGAAACATAATAAATTTATCGGACTCTTTTCAGATCAAGTTAATAAAATAATTTAGTTTTGATAAAGTTTACTTCCTTCCAATTTAATATTTAAAAACCTTTAGCGACTCAAACCATTTTTGGTAGAATTATACGGTAAAGCAACACAAAAATATGTACAATGTTCACGAAATTTTTCGACAATGCTAACATGTTTACTTTCACTTACAACATAAATGTGCTTACATCAAGCGATGCCTTGAAAACATGCTCTTGTTTTGTGAAGTTTTAACTTTCAATGTTACTTTGATGATGAAAACCATCTAAAAACTACGTCTCCTATTATAATGTCTTTTAACAATCTAGAAACAAAAGCGCTGCCTGGAAACTTCGAATAAACAATGAATTTACAAAAAGAACTACATTTTAAACAATTATTTCTAGATCATTGACTGTAATTTAACAAATGAATACAATATGAACCTTTTATTCGATAAGCAATTTTAATTTTACCTATGATTACTAGCCAACAATATTTCAAGCCACTGTAACTGACCATTTATAATACCACATGCGAGAAGTCATAGGAAAACTGAAAAGAAAACTTAGTGTGTCTAACATGTCATTCACCGTACACTTTATAAATACATTTCGTGAGCCTTTGATTCAAACTCAGCAACGATAAATTCAAAATACTTATTCTTTAAAAGAATATGAAATAAGCCTGCTTGTAAAATAGTGGTATTGGTAACATTAATAAAAGACGGAATGCATATTGCTTCTTTTAGCTGCCACCGCGATGATCAAGAAAAAGGAAAACAATTTTAAAACCGTTCATCTACTGTTTATTCAACCTTGATGACTATTAATTACTGGTACATCAGGGGGGTAATATCTCTCTCTGACATACAAAGTTTCCATCACAAATATCAGCGTCCCTGCTATCTAAAGGACTAGAAAAATCTGTCAATAGCTTGACCCAAGAAAACCTAGTTAACTTTGGCCACTCCAGTTTATTAGAATCCTCCTTCGAAGTTATTAGTATAGTGATAAAATGGATTATAAAAAAATACAAATGAAAAACGGACGTACATCAGAAGCTATAGCTTATCCCCGATTCAAGCCTGACCTTTGTTTCTTAAGACAGTACTTTTGCCTCCTCATTCCACTGTGGTCTTGATCTATTTTCCTGTCTTCCACAATCTATCACTTTCTTCTAATCTAGCCACATTTTTTCTTCTATTGCCTGCATTTTACAACCATTATTTAGCCACTATTACAAGTTTTAATTATTCCATTCCCGATATTCGTCGGGTAGATAACCATTTTTGCCCTAACATTTTTTACCAGATGTTAAATCACTGTACAGTTCTCTTTCATTGCCTGACTTTTTAAACAATATACAACATGATGAAACTTCAATTTTCTTAGCTGTTCAACACTATTCTATGTAGTTATAGACTAGTATTTCCAGCAGACAAATTAATTTCTAACACAACTGTAAACTTTAGGTAAATCTAATTGCCGAAAACAAACTTTTGTTCGCTGAACTGACCCTGCTCTTTCTCAGAATTTACATTTTGACAAAGAACGCTTAATAAAGCATCAAAGGACTATCAAACACAATTCATTTTCTAGTTACGCGTGATAATTATGACGGCATTTTTCATCACTAGCTAATCCAACCTTAATTTTCCACGCATAGATTTCGGACAAATAAATATAGTTTGTATCCATAACAAGTAATGATCAATAAATAGAGTGCTTACAAAATCCCAATGCCCCTAAGCATCAAGTTTTTTTAAATTTACAGACATTTGAAATTTATGGTATAATTTAGGTTTACTTAGAGCTTATTCACGCTTTTGACGTGAAATCCATATGACCTAACTGAACCTTCTGCTAAACGTTTTGGACAAAAACAATATAAGAAACTTGATCGGTTTAAAACTACCCTAACGTTGATCGAAAAAGTAGAAAGTTTGTCCGAAACACAGTAAACCACGATCGATGTCTGAAAAACTTTCTATTAGATTCAACAGACCTGCACATATCCATGTTGTTGGCAACGGTATGTAACATAATCGACAATATTAACATTTGTTGTTCTAAATAGATAAAGTGAAGGTCTCGTAAGGTAACATCACAAGTTTAAATCATCGAACCTTTAGTTTTACGTTTATAAAGACCGAGTGATAGTGTTTCTAAGCTTATAAAACTATTTAAAAGTCTGAATGTAAGTACACTATAACAAATTAGGAAATATTTGCAATGCATAACAGAACAAAATTTGCTATAAATTTAAATCTTTTCCTCTTACTTTATATACATTCCTTACTCAAAGTTACAGTAGTGGGCAAATAATTGGTTTTTAACAAAAGTAATTTGTTGTTAGGATCTTTCAACACAATTCTGTCTCCACTTAACTACTAAATAAGTGAATACTTTCATTGTACTTTTATTTGCACTGTGAAGACAATAGCAATTCAAAAGCAATTACATTTAACACGAACTAGTCGCAAATAGTGTTAATCAATAGTGACATAAGAATTTATGTGGGGGTACAGCGTTGCATAAAGAGCAACCAATTTATTAAATTACTTTCAGTTTGCATCAAACGACGCATTTGATACATTACCCGTCCACTTAAGAGTCTGTAAATTGTTTTGTTGAGTACAATCAGTTAATAAAACTTACTTTGGTTCTTTTTTATTTGCTTAACAATGACTCTGTCAACTTCCAGAAGCCTGTGAAGTCCTTCAATCGGCTCTACATATTCTAAAAACAAATATAAGACGTATAATTATTTACCAGACAGAAACCACTTCTGCATTTTAAAAATGTGCCTGTAATCACTTCAAGGTGAGTTATTGTGTAATTGGCGTATACGATATATTATATATAATAAATACTGAGAAAACAAGGTAAATCAGTTTTATAAAGCCTTAATTTGAATATGTTAAATTAAGTTACTCAATACTAGTAAAGGCTCAGATGGTTTAATAAGTGCACTAGATTCCACTGCACTCATATATTTTCAAGAAATTCGTGACCTACGAAACTTAACTTTGAACAAATGCCGCTAATCCCTTTAGTTTTCCTTATGATCACTTCAGGGTATTGAATAAAATGTGTCCAATTTTTGATCCCTTCTTTAGGCACAATTCTATCTCTGTTTACTCACCGAAACACATTAAAATTGTAGCAGTAAATAATTATTATCAAAAGGGGTTGTAGGGGAGATTTAGTATTTACATAGTTGAGTCAATTGAAGCTAGACCATCAGGAAAAACATGGAAGCACTGGACGGCCGTTTCGTCCTGTTATGGGACTCCTCAGTAGTGCGCATCCACGATCACGCCTCGCTAGCGAGATTCGAACCCAGAACCTACCAGTCTCGCGCCAGAGCACTTAACCGATACACCACTGAGCCAGCATCCATGGTGTTTAAGTCTAACTTCAACCAATCCACGAAGTTGAGCAACCGTTCACCAATTGTCTTCAGTGAGTTGATATCTCACAACAGACATGGTCAGAATCCACTGATCACTGCTTCTCACTAGAACTCCAGGAAATATCTCCTGAAGTCAGCCACTAGTGAGCAAATGATTATTACCAGAAGGGGATTTTTGTGGAGATTTGGTATTTTCATAGTTAAAAGCGTGAGTCTCACCTGCAGGTACATCAAGTGCACAACCAAGAGTTTTTAACCTTGACGAATCAATATGATGCTCAGTAAGATTGTCTACCACCTAGAGGTGTCCATTTGGAGTCATCTGTAGGAAACCCACTGTTGACACTGAGAACGACAATCGTGAGCTGAAACGATTATCCCGCTCTAATCGTCTCGGATCCACTCAAATCTTAATAAAAGGGAACTTCAATCTTCCTAAAGTCACTTTCGCATGTTATGTTATGTCTAATAGTAGCATGCCACGTTGATATTCTAGAAAGCTTCATTATGTTCTGGTTAGATGGAAACACTTAAGCTCTCTGATTGGAGGTTTCATTAAGTCATATATTTGTAACGGAGTTGAAATTGCTATGTATGATATACTAATTCATTCTATTTTCTTTCTATTGCAAGGTGACCAAACATAAACTCTTTAGATGAAGAAGAGCAAGCCCTATGTACACTAAGCTTACAGGATGACTCATAAGACTACTTTGTAAACTGACTCTTCCCGCTGTACTCTCGCGTACCGCGCTTTTTGATTTTGAAATAAAGAGGCTCGTGATTCCCACTGTGTTCTCTCTTGGTGGGAAGTCCTCGTTTAACATTGTGTGCTGTGCTGTTTTTCAGATCTGTACCGCTGTTCTCTAACTGTTGATTCCACGTGTTACAACTGGTGTTGGAGGTGTTCACTAAAAAACGCGATGAAAAACTGAACGAACCACCGGTGATTCCAGTCAAGCCAGCAACTGGCTCAGCTCCTCGTCAACCGCCACTCCTAGAAAATTCATCAGACTATACAGTGTGTAAGTTCAAAGTCACGGCATATCTTCGTAAAGTTCCGACCTCGGAACATTTCGATCATCTCGTGTCCTACCTCAGCGACGAAGCTACCAAGAGAGCTATCGTCAACGGGTTTGCGGCGGACAACACTCTCGCTCGGAACTGGAAGATCCTCGACGATTGTTTTTCGACGCCGGTGGATCCCCAACAAGCAGCCATCCGATTTTTGTCACGGCATCAAACACCCGGCGAGAATCCAATAGAGTATTTGAATTCTTTGCAACAGATGGCTGTGCAGGCGTTCCTTTGTCTTGATGCCACTGGACGAGATGAGCTGATTAAGTCTCGGTTCGTGAAAGGGTTAATATCCAGTTCCTTAAAAAACACTTCCTTCTAAACCCTCCGGCAGATATAAATGACTTAAAAAGAATAACATTCCGGTTCATGGCAGCCGAACAGCTAAAACGCCCAATAGACATGCACCAACCAACGGTGATGGCAGTAACACAACCCACAAAAGCGAGCTGCCCAATGAACCCTCAGCACATTTCAGACGTTATCCAGTTTTCCCACTGGAACAACAGTCGAAGACAATCCAGTCCAGCTGAGAAGAATTGCAGATCAACGAATAGTTATCATGGTCGTCAATCCGAATGCTCGTACTGCCGACGGTTTTGCAAAAATGCAAAGAAATGTGGCCATAATCGTTCTGCTAACACAAGTAAGCCGTACATTTTCCATTTATCTTCTTATGTTAACCATGTGCGCCCCATCACGATTAAGGGTAGAGTACAGGGTATTGATATCGAAATTTTATTAGACACCGGAGCGTCAGCATCCTTAATTAAGGACGAGCTTTTAGGAAGGCTCAATCATAAAGTCCAACAAACGCGATACCCATCCACATTACTCACAGCAAGCGGAGACCCATTGAAAGTGGACTCTAAAGTATGGTTGGACCTAACGATAGATAGACATCTGTTCAGTCATGGATTTTTAGTTTGTCCGACATTGACTTGGGATATGATACTCGGAGTCGATTTCATGTTAGAACATAAAGCTGGTATATTCATGGACAGCTTGGAAGCGAAATTTGGAGAGACTAGAATACGCCTGCACCATACTGACACGTCATTTAAAGCTGTGTCATATGTGGGAATCTCAGACCTGGTGCGGCAAGTAAACGGCAACCGAATACTAACAGAGAAAGATCTACATGCAACGATTGCCGTGCTTCAACAGTTTAGTTCGGTATTCGAAGAGAGTATTTCTGGCAATCGAACGAGTACGGTGCAACACACCATTTGTACGGGGGACCACAGGCCACTTAGGCAACCGCCTCGTAGATGCCAGTACATTATCAACCACAACTGGATACGATGATAAAGAATATGCTCGACAAGAATATTATAGTACCGTCATCATCCCCTGGGCATCACCTATCGTCCTGGTAAAAAAGATTCCTCTCTGCGACTCCGCCTAGACTATCGACGCCTAAAAGCTATAACTAAGCGTGACTCTTTTCCTCTCCCGAGAATCGTTGCTATATTAGACGCCTTGAGTGGCGCATGTTGGTTTTCAACGTTAGACCTAGCATCAGGGTATTGGCAAGTGGAAGTCAGACCACAAAATAGAAAGAAAACCGCATTTGTAGTGCCAAATGATTTATACGAATTCCAAGTAATGCCTTTCGGTCTAACAAATGCCCCAGGTACTTTCCAAAGATCAATGCAAACAGTTTTACAAGATATAGTACCTCATAAATGTTTGATTTATCTTGATGACATTATTGTGTATGGTAGCACACCCGAGCAACATAATGCTAGTCTGAAAGCAGTTCTCCATCGTCTTCAACAACACAACTTAAAAGCAAAACCATCCAAATGTCGCCTGCTGCAGAAAGAAGTAGTTTTCTTAGGACATCGTATCACTGCAGATGGAGTAGGCACCAATAAAGAAAAGACACGTGTCATTGTTAATTGACCACAGCCCAAATCACCTGAAGACGTTCGTAGCTTTATTAACTAGCTTCTTACTACAGACGCTTTGTCCGTGACTTTGCATCGTTAGCAGCACCCTTACATCGTTTGACGCGCAAAGGACGAAAATTTTTATGGACTGCAGAGTGTCAACAGGCATTCGATGCTTTGAAGACACGACCAAGCTCTCCACCCATATTAGCCGTTCCGAATACCTCAGCAAGCGGGGGAGAATTTATACTTGATATGGATGCCAGCTCCTCGGCTATTGGAGCAGTTCTATCACAAGTGGCCCCAGTTGGACAAGAAAGAATCATTCCGTAGGCTAGCCGTCGACTGGATAAGAGCGAAACAAAATATTCGACAACGCGCCGAGAGATGTTAGCATTAGTAAAATTCTTACAACACTTCCGCCATTATTTACTAGGTAAACCTTTCCGAGTACGCACAGACCACCGTGCATTACAATGGCTCAGCTACTTCCGCGAACCAGAGGGGCAAGTGGCACGCTGGCAAGAAGGACTACAAGAGTTCGATTTCACATGCGAGTACCGACCTGGAAGCCGACATACAAACGCAGACGCTCTTTCCCGCATACCTCAAACCGCAGGTACTGTTAATGCAATTCTTAGCACAGCCCTAGAGATCGATTGGCCTTCCCTGCAAGCAACAGATCCAGACATGCAGATAACCTCTATAGGTAGTTCCACGTCTAAAAGTTGAGAGCATTGTGGAGCAGGTGCACCGCGAACTAGGTCATGCAGGAGAACGAAGGACGGAATACGCGGTCCACCAGCGCTTTTGGTGGCCATCCATGCATGAAGATGTAGTGCAAATTTGCAAATATTGTAACACGTGCTGTCGTTTCAAATCGCCTTGACAGACACCTCGTGCACCGTTAACTCCGATGGTTACCACAGGGCCACATCAGCGGGTCGGCAGAGAAATCATGGGACCATTAACAACAACAAAGAAGGGAATCGCTACATACTGGTTATGGTAGATTACTTTACTAAATGGTGCGAAGCAGTATCCCTTCCCCAGCAAGACTCTCTTACGGTTGCCCGAGCTTTCATCGATCATTGGGTTTACCGCTATGGCGCCCCCTTCTCACCTCATTCTGATCAAGGTCCAGCCTTTGAAACTCACCTCATCGCCGAGATACTAATAATAATAATATGCCAGCTATTGTGAATCAAGAGGACACGAACCACTGCTTATCACCCAGAAGGTAACGGGCTGGTAGAAAGAACAAACAGAAGTATTAAAGCCATATTGCAAGCGTTTGTGAGCAGATCGTCGTAGGAGTTATGGGATGATGTCCTTCCTCAGTGTCTTTTAGCATATCGTACATCGGTACATGGCTCCACCGGGTTTTCACCCGCTATATTATTATTC